TTAATCTTCCCTTCTGTTAATGCGATGTATTATGTTGTCTTCCATATGTTGAACCACCCTTCCATCCCTGGAATAAAGCCTACTCGATCATGGTGTATAATCTTTTTAATGTGCTGTTGGATTCAATTTCCTGGTATCTTTTTGAGGATTTTTGCAACCGTATTCATGGATATCAGTCCACGATGTTCTTTTTGTTGTCATGTCCTAGTCTGTTTTTGGTATCAAGTTGATGGAGGCTTCACAGAATAAATTTGGAAGAGTTCCTTCCTTTTGGATCTTTAGAAATAGCTTGAGATGGGTTAGCTTTTCTTTAAAAGTTTTGTAGAATCCAAGAGTGAAGCTGTTGGGATCTGGGCTTTTCTCAGTTGGGAGACTATTTATTACTATTCAATTTCATTGCTTGTTATTGGTCTGTTCTGGCTTCCTTTTCTTCCTGGTTCAATGTAGGTAAACTGTATGTGTCCAGAAATTTGTCCATGTCATCTAGGTGTTCTTGTTGGTTGGCATATAGTTACTCATAGTATTCTCTCATGATCTTTTGTATTTCTGTTACATCTGTTGTAATATTGCCTGCTTCATTACTAATTTTATTGATCTGGTTCCTTTCCCTGTTTTTATTAGTCTAGCTAACAGTTTGCCAGTTTTGTTTATCCTGTCCAGAAACCCACTTTTTGTTTCATTAATTTTTTGTATAGTTCTTTTTTATTCTCCATTTCATTTATTTCTGTTCTAATCTTCATTATGTATTTTCTTCTGGTTGTTTTGTTGCTGCTGTTGTTTCTCCAGTTCCGTTAGATGTGTTATTTGCCACCTTTCTATTTTTTTCTTGTGAGCACTAGTTGTTATAAACTTCCCTTTTATGACTGCATTCACTGCGTCTCAGAGACTGCGGAGGGTCATGTGTTCATTATCAGTTTCAATAAATCTTTTTATTTCAGTCTAAATGTCTTCAGAAGCTTTGAAGTCATTCAAGAATAGATTATTTAGTTTCCATGTTTTTGTTTTGTATTTTCAAAGGCTCTTTCTGTTGTTGATTTCAAGTTTAATTCCAGTGTGTTTGGCACAGATGCTAACATAGTTCTTACATGTTTAAATTTGTGAAGGCCTGTTTTGTGCTGTATTACGTGGGTCCCTGTGGGAATGAGAAAAATGTGTATTTTGTGGTTGTTCGGTGCAATGTTCTATAAATGTCTGTCAGGTCCATTTGGTTTATGGTATCTTTAGCTCCTGTGTTTCTTTCTTTTTTTTTGGTCTGGATGACCTGTCTGGTGGTGACAATGGGATGGTGAAGTACCTAATAATAGTGTGTTGCTGATTTAATCCTTGGAGGAGTATATAGTATCCTCCTTTGTCTCTTTTTACAGTTTTTATCTTGAAGTCTATTTTGTAAGTATAACAACTCCAGCCTTTTTTGGTTTCTGTTCAAATGAAATGACTTTTACTAAGCCCTTCACTTTCAGTCTCTGAATTTCTTTATCAGTGAGACATGTTTCTTGTAAGCAGCATATAGACCAGAGTTTGTTTTCTTTTTAAAATCCGTTCAGCCATTCTGTATCTTTTAACTGGAGCATTGAATGCATAGACATTCCATGTTATTATCAATATTTGTGGACTTATTCTGCCATTTTGTTAGTTATTTTCTTAGTTGTTTTATGTTCTCTTATTTCTATCTCTTTCATTCTCCCTGATGTAGTATTGCCTTAAGTATTTTTTTAGGAGTTGGTTTAGTGATGATAAATTTTTTCTTTTGTTGATCTGAGAATTATTTTATTCTTCCTTCCCATTTATTTGCAGAATAATCTTGCTGAATGTAGCATTCTAGTTTTGTTGTTGTTTTTTTCATTCAGAGGTTTAAATATATCTTCCTATTCTTCTTTTTTTTTTAAAGAGAGACTTTTGCTGCAAGGCATGTGTGCTCACTGGAGAGAGAGAAAAAAACAAGAGAGACAAAAAGCGAGAAATCATCCCCCCCAGGGGGGATGGCCATGCCACAATCCCATCTCCTCCATTTTCCTCTTGGGATTCTAGGAATGCATGCACATGCACCCAGCATGAGTTTCGGGTGGCTGGGTCCAGGACTCAAACTGTGGTTGATCATGCCAGAGTCCAGCAACATAACCATTATGCCATCTGCTGGTCCCTGTCTTCTCATTCTTCCCTTGCCTGCATTGTTTCAGTTAAGAAGTCTGAGGTTAGTCTGATGGGGTAACCTTTGTAAGTAACTTGACTTTCACCATTTTTATAATATTGTCTTTGTCTCTGATTTTTACCAGTTTGGTTACTTTGTACTTGGAGAGGATCTTCTTATGTTGAATCTACTTGGTGTTCTTTGTACTTCCTGGATCTGGATGTCTCGGTGTCTCTCTAGAATCGGAAATTTTTCATATAGTATTTGATGGAAGGAATTTTCTATGACTTTAACTATCTCTTCATTTTCTGGAATAACCATTATGTGACTATTTGGCCACTAATGGTGCCTAGAATTTCCCATATGTTGTCCTCATTTGTTTTTCTATTTTTTCATTATTTCTGGTGGCGTGTACTAAATTGGAAGTTTTGTCTTTAAGGTCAGAGATTCTTTCTTCTGCATGGTCTAATCTGCTGCTAATACTTTTTAGAGAGATTTTGATTTCCTGTATTGTATTTTTCATCTCTGGAAGTTCTGTTTGATTCTTTATTAAAGTCTCTCTTTCTCTCTCTCTTTAAATTTGTTCTAGAGCACTTGCACTTGTCAGAGAAAGACAGAGAGGGAAACTGAGAAAGCACTCCCCAGGGCGATGGCCATGATGCAATCCCTTCTCCTCCATTATCCTCCTGGGATTTGGGGCATGCATATGTACCTGACGTGTTTTTCAATGCACTGGGTGTGGGACTCAAACTATGCAGTCAGCCGTGTGGGATCTGCTGCTTCAGTCACCATGCCACTGGCTGGCTCAATGATGTCTATCTCTGTATGACATTCCTCTTTCATGTTGGATGATTTTCTCATCTCCTGGAATTGCTCATCCATTTTTTTCTTGTGTCTCACTGAGTTTGTTATGACGATTATTCTGAATTCTTTTCCCACATTTCTGTGATTTCTTGTCTTTATTGTTGGTGAGGTGTTATTGGGGGAGAGGTAATTCCTTGTTTTCTCATGTTTCTTGTGTCTCCGTGTTGGTTTTACGTATCTTGTAAAATATTAACTTCTTCCTAATATTTGGAGTAGGTTTTGAAGTGCCAATGGGTAAGAACAACCTTACGTCCCATATGTGTCCCTGCAAAGTGGTTCAGAAGGGGCCAGTGAGAAGCCACACCTTCCAGATCCGAGCAGGCTTGCACAGCCTGTATGTGAGACGGCTTAGGAGGTCCAGAAGATCTGCACTGTGGATGGCATCAGCTGGAACAAATAACCATCATTTTGGATTTGAGTCTGATAGGAGGGAGAGTACGGCCCTGCCCTGCCTGCCAGACAGAGGAGCGTCCAAACTCCTCAGTCTCTGCTGGGGTGGGGTGCACATTTTTCATCCTCTGCTCCTTCCTGGCTGTGGAGAATTGACGTTATGGAGCCCCACTTGCTGGCTGGTTTACGGAACAGTGTAGCTCTCTTGTCAGCTTGTGGTGGCAGTGGGGTGGCCCAATTTCCCCTGTAGCTGTTTGGTCCTGCACTTCCCTATCATGTGCCACTTTCATGGTCTTTCTGTGGGTGGGAGTGCTGGAATCCTTGGTAGGAATCTGGGATTGAGAACTTCAGAGGAGTTTCTCTTGTTTTTCTCCTGTGGAAGTGGGTATGGGGAGTGGGAAGTCCTTTAGTGTCACCAGCTTCAGACAGCTGGCTGCTCTCCACTTCTGCAAGCAGAAACTATGCAAACTAGAAGTCCCTGCTGACTCCCGCCTGCCCAGATGTTCTTTCTCTGTGGAGGTTGCTCACGGCAATGGTTGTGGCTGGGAACCTGCGGGCTGTAGAGGAGGCAGCAGTTGACCCTGCCCACAGTCAGTAGCCATGTTCCCCTCCAGAAGCTTTCTCTAATTATTATTAGAATATACCATCTCATAATTCACCAGGATCATCTGACTTTCTAGTTACTTGTTAAAAGTGGGGAAAAAAAAAAAAAAAAGAAAAGTTCCCTTTCACTGATGCCTACTGGTGTCAGAGGGAAGAAATTCTAAGTTTTCTTGGGTAGCAGGGGGAAGGCTATCTAGAAGTTACAATTTTTTGTGCATAACTAAATACCAGTGAGTAACTCCTTTTATTAATTTATTTCAGGTTTTTGTCATAGGGTGTGTATCTAGCCAGAGACAGATAGAGAGAATGAGAAGTCAGCCCAGGGAGGATGGCCGTGCTGCAGTCTCTTCCCCGTTCTCCTCTCAGGGTTTTGGGCACACACACATAAACACACATGCCTGGTGTGATTTTTAAGCTACCAGGTCTGAGACTTAAATCGTGTTCACCCATGTGGGAATCCAGTGCCTTAACCACTCACCACACTAGCTGCTGGTCTGCGAATAACTATTTTTTAAAAATTGATGATAGCAGGTGGCATGGTGATTAAGTGCACTGGACTCCCACATGGCTGACTGTGGTTCAAGTCCCAGACCTAGAAGCTTGCTTTCTCATTTTCTCTCTCTCTATCTCCATCTCTCTGGTCAAATTAAAATAATAATAATGATGATGAATAAAATCAACTAATTCTGTTTTATCCTGGTTTCCCAAGACCTTTAATAAGATGAAGTTATAGTTTACTAATCTATTTTCCTTCAAATGTGGACTATACAAGAAAGAATGGCTTTTCTTATTGACCAAAGTCAAGAAGGCAGAAAGAGCATAGCAACATTATATGCGGCACACTGAAGGGAAGAATGAACTATCAGGTTATAGCAGTATCTGCCTTTCAGGGTGTAGTGGCAAGAAATCCTGCTTCTTGGAGTCAAGAGGTTTCTGCATTCCCTTGAAATCAATTATTTTTAGAAGTTTCCAGTCTACATACAGAACCAAAGGTTGCAGACAGAAGCCAACTCACATGAATTCTACCATCTTTGATGGCAGGACCATCCTCAGCCAGACGAAGGATGAACAGCCCCATGTTGTATTCCTTTCCCCCTCGGAGGCTAAAGCCAAAGCCCCGGGGGCCTCTCTCCAGCTCTACGGGGTAGCAGCCAAGGCTCTAGAGAGAAAGAAGTGCAAGAAAAACAAGTTCTCATGGGCTGCTTTGTTTACATGTTGAAGAAAGACTTCTTTTATAGTGGAGAGAAATGATTTATACTCCTACTATGCATTTCTATACCATAAGGAAGGGATGCAAATTTTGGGTGAAGGGCTACTTAATTTTTATAAATGCAGCCTAAATTCACCTCAAGATTACAAGTCTTCTCTACTAGTTGGTCAATCTACAATGGAACCATCAGAGAACAGAATTTTAGAAAGTACTTCTTTGAGGGACCAGCAGTTAGCGTAATGGCTATGTCGCTGGACTCCCACGTAGTCGACTGCGGTTCGAGTCCCGGACCCGGTGGCTTAAACTCACGCCAGGTGCATGTGCGTGCGTGCCCATGATCCCAAGAGGAGAATGGAGGAGAAGGGATTGTGGCGTAGTCATCCCCCCCGGGGGGTGGTTTCTCGCTTTCTGTCTCTCTGTCTCTCTCTGTCTGTCTGACAAGCGCACGCGCCCTATAGCAAAAAACTCTCCAAAAAAATAAAAAATAAAAAAGAAAAAAGAAAGTACTTCTTTGAGGTAGGTTTTGACTAGTTTCCCTGAAAAACAAACCAAAAACCTTACACTCTGATTACCTAGAACATGGTTAACTTTTAAGTATTAAACTAAACTCATATTTCTTCTATTACAGGCTGAACATCCCTAATCTGAACTCCAGACTGTTCCAGAATTTGAAGCTTTTTGAGATCAACAAACCCCAAGGGGAAAAAAATCCTATACCTGCCCTCATGTGAGTTGTAGCCAAAATGCTGCAATACAAAAATACCTTATAAAATTACCTTCAGGCTGTGTGCCTAAGGTATATACGAACTATAAATGAATTTCATGTTCAGACTTGGGGCCCAACCCCAAGATATCTCACTATATCTATGCAAATATTCAAAAAAATTCAATAGTTTGAGTCCCAAGAGACTTCAACTGTACTGGATACACTTTATCTCCTCTCTGTACTTTCTCTTGTGGTAGCTAACAGAATGCCCATCACATAGTAGGTCTGTAAGAATGGTTAATTTTTGGAAACAAATTTATCTGAACTGATTTGCAATAAAAATTCCCCAGTGTTGGTGATATAGCAACTCAAAATACCAGCTTGCATGTGGCAGGTTATGCGTTTACCTGATTGTGCCGACTGCCTACAACCGAAATCACTGCGGTGTCAGGCTGGGCAAGGTGCTTGTGGTCAGACCATGAATGTCTGTAAGAAGTGGAGGCCTCTTTTCCAATTTCACCTTCTAGGGCACTTCTATAAGACAGAGAAATCAAGTCATTCTCCAAACTGGGGAAACGAAAAACAGCCTAAAAATAAGGCACATCAATCTCTTTTCTTTTTAAAAGCTGAATCTTGTCACTCTCTGAAAAGCTGCTCTAAAGACAGACTGTATCTAGAACCAGGATGGTGGTAGGAGAACCTCTCTCTGGTCATTAACTCCAATATAACTTAAAGTCTGCAACATTGTGTTTTTTCCAAAGGGCACCTCAGTGCAGTTTATATCAAGAAAGACTGCTCTCAAATAACTGAACCAGAGGGTAGATAAGCTGACCTTGTCAGAGTGAAAAATGCCTTTCCTGCAGTGCCAACGCCCAGAAAGATGCTGAAGTTCTGGAAATGTAATTTTTGTTTTGTGGAAAATATTTTCAACAAAACAGCAAAGAAATATGTTCAAAATGCTACTCTTTTCTGCTCAGGGAGTCTGAAAAGACAGCAATCCATGTGGGCCTAGGGCTTCCCTAGACCAGGAGTAGCAGAGAGAGATGCTCCCCTCATTTCTTTGCAAATCCTTGCTTATTGGACATGACTGAAGAATTGTGCCTGTGGTGGGGGATGGGAAGAGGCATGAAGGGATTGAGGGGTGGAGAGAACAGGAAAGTATTTAGAATGGCGCATGCAAGAAGCCTCATTTTGAACTCGACATGTGGTTCCCACAAAACTGCATGGGGGTTGGGGGTTTATGAAGAGGTGGGAGATAATAAGGAGAGACAAAAACCAAACCTGAGAAGAACAGCCTCACCTGTCCCCAGGTATGTGGTTGGTCTGTGACTGTCCCACAGGCCTATGTTGCAGGGCTGGGCTTTGCCTGGCTGAGTTTGTTCCTGATGGCGGACCGTGATGCTCTGTTCAAATAAGAAAGCAACAGTAATAAGAGTCTGGTCATAACCATGCGAAGGCCCAGTGGACCTGTGAAAGTGAGACAGAACAGGTGGTTACTGCTTCACCGACTTCAGTGACTTTAGCATGAACAGCACCATTGTCAGCTGCCTAGAGGTGGAGCATGAACATTTTTCCCCTGTGGCTTTTGATTAATGTTTATGTCTATGTTTCAAGAGAGTAGGACTCATATTTTTTGCTTTCCCATTTCCACTTCTGTTTTGGTCATCCACATAATAAGAAAATCAGAAATGAGCGTACATTTATCTAGAAGACAGAGCTCCAGGAACTATCCCGTAGCCTAGTCTATGGGTTTACAGAACACACACCTCACAGCTGGGAAACCAGTCTGGATGACAAAGACAAGACTCAGGAATGCTGGAACACAGAGGCCAGACTGCAAACTACACACTTATCTCTGAACCTGCATCCTTAGTATGCGAGCAGTTACTCAGTCTGACATTGAATACCAAAGACATACTTACAAAATCATCTTGAATGCTGACAAGTGTTTATAAAGATTTTACAGTATCTTTTCTAAGAACATAAACAGAAGTGGAAAAGGAATCATTGTTTCTGTATCATCCCCAGCAGCTCTGGGCTCTTGGAAGGTAGGTTTTGTCCTAAGCAGAATAACTGCTGGGGCTAGAACTAGATGACAAGTCATGGGAGGTGATAGCTGCAAGAGATTCTTAAGGCTGTCAGGTTCATATTTTTAAACCCGAGATTTTTGAAGATTTTACTCTTTCCAAATATCAAAGCATAGGATATTTAAAATATTAAAGACAGGGAGAATGGCTAAGTGATTAGGAGCATGAGCGCTGGAGTGAGAAGGACGGGGTTTAAGCCTATCCTCATCACTTACTAGTTGTGTTCTTGAGCAAGTTAACTATTTCTTTGCGATTCTGATCACCTCATTCCCCACTACAAGAGGAATTAGAGTTGCCGCATAGGTTTTTGTATTAGATGAGCTTACAAAGGCTTAGACGGTGTCTGACATATGATATTCACTGTATAAAGGTTTCTATTATAACTATCATTATTGTCACTGTCATCAGCATCAAAATGATATATGCCATTTGGAGCTGTATTTCTCCTAAAGTAAGCATTCTGAAATATTTACCTTCCTCTGCAAAAGTGTTCAATGTGGAGGCCATTTTAGGTTAGAACATATGGAAATGGATACAAACTGAGTCTTGGAATATTAAAGGAGACAGAGAAAGTCAATGTTGAAGATAAGAGATACAAAGTGTAGGAAGCAATTTCTACCAGAGAAGTTGAAATTCAGGCTTCATTAGATACCTAGGAATAAACTAACCAAGGAAGTCAAAGACCTCTATAGGGAAAACTATGAAAATCTTAAAAGAGAAATAGAAAATGACATAAAAAAGTGGAAGGACATCCCATATTCCTGGATTGGGAGAATCAATATAATCAAAGTGGCAATCCGTCACAAATTAATCTATTTAATACAATCCCTGTAAAATTACAAGAGACATTCTTCACAGATCTAGAAAAGACAATTATAGAATGCGTCTGGAACCATAAAAGACCCCGTATTGCCAAAGCAATCCTTCACAAAAAAGAGTGGTGTAGGGACCAGCAGTTAGCGTAATGGCTATGTCGCTGAACTCTCATGTAGTTGACCATGGTTCGCGTCCTGGACCCGGTGGCTTAAAATTCACACCAGGTGCGTGTGCGTGCATGCCCAAGATCCCGAGAGGAAAAAAAAAAATAGAGTGGTGTAGGAAGCATCTCATTTCCTGACCCCAAAATATATTACAAACCTGTGTTAATCAAAACAGCATGGTATTGGCACAAAAACAGACATGAAGACCAATGGAACAGAGTGAGACCACAGAAATAAACCTCAAAACATACAGCCAACTCATCTTTGACAAAGGGTACCAGTCAATCCAGTGGGAAAAGGAAAACATCTTTAGCAAATGGTGCTGGAAAAACTGGGTATCCACCTGCAGAAAGATGAATCTGAACCCCTATCTGTCACCAATAACAAAAATCAACTCAAAGTAGATTAAAAATCTAAACCTGAGACTTCAAACTATAAAATTACTGGTGGAAAACATGGAGGAAACTATGGGAAACACTGGGGTAGGCAAAGACTTCTTTAATAAGACCCCCAAAGCACAGGTAATAATCCCCAAAATAGACAAGTGGGATTACATCAGATTAAGAAGTTTCTACACAGGAAAGGACACAGTAATTAGTGTGAATCAAAACCCCTCAGAATGGGAGAAAATTTTTGTAAACTATGCCTCAGATAAGGGACTGCTCATCAGAATAAACAGGGAACTCAAGTGGCTTACCTGGGAGAAAAATTATAGATGGAAAAATGAGCTGAATAAACACATGAATAGCCGAAAAGTATATGAAAAAAATGCCCAACATCATAAGGGAGATGCAGATCAAAATGACAATGAGGGGACCAGCAGGCGGCATTGTGGTTAAGGTGCTGGACACTCCCACATGGCTGACCACGGTTCAAGTTCTAGACCTGGTGGTTTGCTTTTTCACTTTCCTCTCTCTCTCTGTGTCTATCTCTGATCAAACTATAATGAATGAATAAATGAAAAAATAAATAAATCTTTAAAAAAAAAACTATAATGAGATACCACCTAACCCCAGTTAGGATGGCCAAGATTAAAAAAAATAATAATAAGTGCTGGTAGGAGTGTGGTGAAAGAGGAACTCCCTGCATTGTTGGTGGGAATGTAAATTGGTCCAATCCTGTGAAGAACAACATGAGGTTCCTCCAAGACCTTCAAATAGAACTACCATATGATCCAGCAATTCCACCCTGGGTATCTACCCAAAGGTCAGCAGGATGCTCAGTTGGAAAAGCGCTTGCACAGCTGTATTCATTGCAGGGTTATTCACGATTACTAAGACATGGAACCAACCCAAATGTCCACAAACAGATGTGTGGACTGAAAAAGTGTGGCACATATATTCCATGGAATACTATTCAGCCATAAAAAAACAAGACCCTGGCATGTGATAGAAAGTGGACAAATACGGAAGATTTATTGTTGAGTGAAGCAAGTCAGGCTATGAAACAGAGACTTTATATGTCTCTACTTAACATATACCGACTGTCCACACGCTATGGAAGAGACTGAAAAATTGGAGGGCATAAAAGCATTGAAAATTGTTATGGACACTAGGGACAAAGTGGACAGAGAGTGGGAGAGGGGAAGAGTGTGGGAAAGGAAATTTGGGGGGGAAATAGAGAGGTAAGACATCTGTGGGACACAGGTATCATTTATTACCTGTTGATGACGTGTATAGTATTCTCAACTCGCTGGACTGGTGTATATCATTCTTGGTAAAGTCTCTTTATAATCTAAATGATGTATGGTGATTGAATATATAAATAATAATAATGATAATGATAAAAAGAAATTCAGGCTTCACTAAATGCATCACTATTTTATGGCTTAGGGTAAGTTGTTCTCCAAAGTTCTATAGGACTAAAAACATAGATAACTTATATTTAAGAACCTTTTGCACCTGGAAGCTATCAAGTACTCTAGAAAAACAGGAAGGAGGATAAAGAGTGGCAGAAGGACAGAGAAATGATACATGGTCAAATGAGGTGGACCCTGGGGATTGCTAAATCTCTCTGGCTGCTGGGCTTGTGCCTCAACAGGTATCTCAACGATGTTTACCAGACATACAAATGTAGAACCCACGCATGGAACAGAGTTTTTTTTTTTCTTTTAAAAAATAATTATTTATTTATTCATTCATTTATTTTAATTTGACTAGAGAGATAGAGGAAGAAGCAGTGAGAAGGCAAGCCACCAGATCTAGGAGTTGAACCGTGGTGGGCCATGTGGGAATGTCCAGCACCCCAACCACCATGCCACCTGCTGGTCCCTGGAACAGAGTTTTCTACAGGGCCGTGTTACCTCTATAAAGTAAAGTGTTCCAGGAAGAAAGGATGGGGGAGGGTAGGCCATATTTTGTGTATTTGTGTGATTTAGAAATTTGTTGCTCTTTTACATTGCTATTATGAATTTTATTTTCCTGATTAGCTTAATCAGTTTCAGTTATTATGTGGCCTCCGATGAATCTGGACTTCATTCCACTTGTACGATTCCAATTCTTACACACTGAAACATGACACTGCCTTGCTTAAAAATCTATGATGATGTTTTGTTGCTTGTAAGATATTATCCAAACTTATCACCTGAACACTATTGTCCTCTCACTTTATTTATTTATATTATTATATTTAACTTTATTTATTTAAATTTGACCACATACACAAACACGCACACACACACACACACACAGAGAGAGAGAGAGAGAGAGAGAGAGAGAGAGTGAAAGTGAGAAAGCAGGCCACTAGGTCCAGGATTTGAACTGTGCTCCGTTATGTGGGAGTCCAGTGGCCTTAACCACTACACCACCTGCTGGCCTGCTGTCTTCTCAGTTTAATTCCTGTTCAAAATGTCACCTCATCTGTTAAATCCTACCTGGCTTCTCAGGAATGTGACCACATGGGGCCAGCAGGTGGTGTGGTGGTTGAGGTGCTGGACTTCCACCTGGTAGACTGCAATTCGAGTCCCAGATGTGGCTTGCTTACTCACTTTCCCTCTCTTTGTCTCTCTCCAGTGAGTGCATGTGTCCTGTAACAAATTAAAAAAAAAAAATATTTTTAAAAAATGAATGTTACCACAATGTTTTCATAGCATTTATCACATTGTGTCAGAGACAGCTGTACACCTGTCCCCCCGCTAGACTGAGAACTCCTTGATTGCAGGAATCATATCTCCTTTATCTTTATATTCTTGTGCCAAGTGGAAATTCCCAGAAGTCTTCCGCTTTTGCTTACAGGGTATGTCAATTTCAAGTTTTCTGTTTCTAAACTGAAAAATTACAGTTGGATTTTTTGGGGAAGGAGAAAAGTCATTTTCTCTAAAATATGTATATAGGCCCA